ATATCATGCGTTCGAAAAATGTTGACTTTTGTGTTATTTAAAATGAGTTCGATAATTTTTCATTTACACAACTTTTGGATGGAAACAAATTTTTGGTCCTTACAAATTCCTTGGGTGCGAAACTACACCGCATTAAAAGTTTGTTGGGGTTAGCCGATGGTCTTTACAAATATGTCCTTTGTGTGGCTTGTCATTGCAAAGAATTATTTCATTTTTCTAAGCAGTTTCAAGGCATTCTTATTCAATTCATCTCCTCATGTAATCTATCATAAACTTGCTTATCGTTTGATTTTCATCCATCTATGTCAGAAGAAGTGTATGAGGGCATGGTGCTTTACTGTTGTTTTTCCCCATTGCACCAGTTGCATATTGTCTTATAGTATCTTACCTGGTTCAAGTGTCATTTTTAAGTTCACGCAGTTCTATAAAATATTTGATTAATGAAATATTGCATGGTGACTTAGTATCATGAAGCAAATCCTGGTGTTTATACAATTGTTATGTTTCCATTCCTTTTTGCCGTCATGTTTGGAGATTGGGTCCATGGTATATGCTTGCTTCTTGCGACACTTTACTTCTTAATCAGGGAAAAAAAACTTTTCAATCCGCTAATCACAAAATGGTTCAGTTCCATACTTTTGGGGCAATTGTCTTCTATTGAAATATGTCCCATAGCTTGTTACCCATGAATGTAATCTTGACTTAACCGAAACAAACAAAGCACAAATAAATATTTATTTTGCAAGTTTATTTTAGAAAGAGTGGATAATAGGAACAATTACTTTTCCTTATCTCTTCCACATTCTTGTCTCTCTTCGTCACTCTTTGTTTATCTTGAATAAGTGTACAATTTTGTAATGAGATGTGGTCATGTGTATTGAGTATTATCCACCTCTATTAGTGTTTCCAACAAGAAGCAACAAATAGAACTCTTGTTCTCCACTATTGTTCATACTTTTATATAGCCTTGCTCAATGGCTCACGGTCTAGGTTATTGATGATGAAATAATTTAGGTAATAGCTCAAATATGTGTTTTATGTTTTGTTTATTCCAACATGTCAACATTAAAATGGAGAATATAAAGTGTTGTTTTTAGTTTTTTCATGATAGATATTTTATAATTTTAGCTAAGCTAAACCAGAAATTTATTCCCTAGCTTTGCCAATGAATACTATTAAAAATAAATTTCTTTTAAGAGTCCACTTATAAAACAAAAAAGCTTACATGAATGTTTAATGTTATCTAAGTTTTAGTGTGAGAATTAATGTCGTAAAAATTAGCATAAAAGTGAACAATAGAACCTAATTTTTAATGTTATTTCATGTCTAGGTGTTTCTTGCCAATTTTGATAAAGTCACATGGCGAATGTATTCCATTTGGTTGTGGGAAAGGGGGAATGTGGCTACTCACATATAACTGTTACTTCAAGATCTTCTGTGAAAAATAAATTACCGTGTGCAGTTATATTTTTTGACATTTCTGCAATTATGCTAAGAGACACGAGATATAAGGAGGGAATCGAGAATGATGTATTTGAGCCAACTTGAAATATTATTTGTTTTAGTATTTTTTTGGGTTTAGTGGTTTTGTCGCTAATTATTTATTAATGTTTACCAAACAAGTGGATTTATAAAATTGTGGTTTACGACTTTAATATATATGATTTTCTATAAAATACATTTCACGTGCAACGTACGTGTGCATTAACTATTATGTATATATGTATGTGTAGTGATGTGATCCAGTACTCACACCCCTTTTGTAGTTGCTCTAAAACAACCACACACACCCCTTTTGTAGTTGCTCTAAGTCTCCTTACATACACCATGCAGAAATCCCTAAATCACCCGCATGTTTAAAGATAGTACTATCAAGTAGATGTGGTCTAGCACTCACACCCCTCATGTAGTTGCTCTAAAACAACCACACACACTCCTTTTGTAGTTGCTCTAAAACAACCACACACGCCCCTTTTGCAGTTGCTATAAGTCTCCTTGCATACACCATGCAGAAATCTCTGAATCAACCACATATTTAAAGATAGTACTATCAAGTGAATGTGGTCTAGCACTCACACCCCTTTTGTAGTTGCTCTAAAACAACCACACACACCCTTTTTGCGGTTGTTCTAAATCTCCTTACGTATACTATGCAGAAATCTCTAAATCAACCACATGTTTAAAGATAGTACTATCAAGTGGATGTGGTCTAGCACTCACACCCCTTTTGTAGTTCCTCTAAAACAATCACTCACACCCCTTTTGTCGTTGCTCTAAAACAACTACACACACCCCTTTTGTAATTATTCTGAGTCTCTTTATGTACATCATGCAGAAATCAATAACAAATGGAGACTGATATGCAAATCAGTTTCATTGAGAGCTTCGATGATTGATGTATCATTCATATCTTTCTCTCTCTAACACACGCACAGTTCGTGAATGAAGATATGGACTCATAAATTCCATATTTAGAGTAAACTACAATATCAAATTTATTTTTTCCGGTATTTTTATTTGTCACATTTGTGATTATTTTTATTATATTTATGAGTATTTTTACTATTGTTGTAATATCCAAAAAAATAGTAAAAAATAGATACCACAACAATAGTAAAAATATTTACAAATGTGATAAAAATATCTACAAATATGATAAAACACTTACAAAAATAATAAATTTTTAATTATAAACTGATCTATAAAAATTATAAAAATACTATTTAAAATAATAAATTTTGAAGTTATTGTACCGAATTTTTTTTTTTTTTAGGACCGTAGTCTAATCTTTCATATTTATTACCACCCAATGAGAATGAAGGCACAGATTAGTACAAGCAATGGACAAAGGCCAGCCTGATGAGGTTGAATTGTCAACACAAACATGGCTTGTCTGAAATTGAAAAGGTTGTTGGTGGTCCTTGTGAGTAACTCTCATCAATAAATAGGATTTAAACTGAATCTCACGTCTTATATTCGAATCGATTAAAAATTAAAAATTTAATTCAAAAATATAATGTCATTGAAATAACTCAAATATATTTAAATCTGATTGTGATATCTTTAGAATATGTACAAGTCTATGAATCGAAGTCCATCTGGGTCCAGACCCCATTCAATTCTTTCGTACCTTTTGTTCATTGTTGTTTTTAAGCTGACTCAGTCCAAGTCTTTGCATAATTAACTGGTTTCCGATTTGTGAAAGAGATGCCATGTACTGAGATATCTATGTACTGTCCATGTTGGGTCATTTCAATAACGATTTGACCACGATACTGAAAAAAAAAAAAATCTGTACCCCTAAAATTTTCATACATTAATAAGTATTTTTATAATTTTTATTAAAATTTGATGCAACCTCTTCAACTATCATCGATATAAATTTTTAATTACTATGTACCTAATAGATATATTGTATTAAACTACGTTAGATTTTTTTGTAATATTTTTATTATTTTTCTATGTTTGAATTTCTATCTTCCGTCCCATGTATTAATTATTTGTGGGCGTTTTCATTACAATTGTAATAACTATTTTTATTATTTTTTTTGGTACAAAAAAATTATCACTTTTAATAATGATTTATTACATTTATGAGTATTTTTATAAATATTGTTGTAACTATTTATATCATTTTTTTCAGTAATATGACAAAAAATATCAGACTGTATCCACCTATTTACGGAAGTGTTGCATTGGCCATCGCCTATTAGATCCTTATTCTCACCAACAAAACGGGGTCGCGGAACACAAACATCGGCCTATTGTTGAAACTGGTCTTGCACAAATGGTTCATGTTTCTGTTCCTCAATATTTTTGGGATTTTGACAGTCTATTATCTGAGTAATTTGGCTGCCCACTCCACTATTGAAGAATCTTTCACTTTTGGAAAAGCTTCAAGCAAATTAAACTGTTAATCTTTTAGGCATATAAATTTTAATGGAACCTTTTGATGCAATTGTGAATTTACAGTGCCGTTATTTCATGATTATGATATGAAACAGCGATGTCTCTTTCTTTTTTGAAGATAAACAATATGCAAAATTGAATTACATTTTGTTTAGAATTGAACAAAGTGACATGAACCGAATTAAATAATATTTTGAGAACAATGGTTTATTATATTCTGAGTAGGATTTTGAATAAAGAACCTAATATATATTTTTAAATAATATATTCCGAGTAGATCAATAATATTATTTAGACCTAATTTGACGATAGAATTTACTCACCTAATGTATAACAGCCATTGGATTAATAACGGATCCCAAATCCACATTCAACCTAATAGTTGTGACGTATTAAGTAAGCAAATTAGGTCAAAATTGCATTGCTTATAAAGATAAGTTAAGAAAGAATCGATTTAGATGATTTATATGTTGGTAGAGGATTGATTACTGCACCGAGATCGTAGTGCAAGATAGACTGAAATTAACTTTGAATGATATTGAGAAAAATAAAAATAATAGCTTGCAATTTGACAGATCATATGATCTTTAATAAATCACAATGGCCGAACATGATTCCTTTAGTCGTATTCAAATAGTTTAGATAAGGGTTTGTTGAGCTGAGTTGCTTTGAAATTCTTTGTGCAAAGCATTTTCTTTTTCATAATAGACCATAATACTCAGTCTAATGGAATTGTGATCTTAAAGGAGTTCTCCTATAGTTTAATGGGTGAAGGCGAATTTATTGGTCTCATCTACTCATTAATAGCTTGGATTGTTTCTATGTAATAGTAGATAGAAGCATCGCTTGTAAGGAGTCCAATTAAAACAAGAAATATAGGTATGCCAGCCATCCACACTAGACTAAAGAGGGTTTTCCAATAAAGCCTCAACTAGGCAGACCAATTCAAAAACCTCCCAAAAATCAATTGAATAGACCATCAATTGTTTGAGTTGGTCTGTATCAAGGTATATATGATCTGAAAGGGTGGGCCATGATGTTGCTTATTTACACAGGATGACAGGAGTAAAGGAATACAAAAGAACTACATAGTGACTATTCAATTTCTTCCGCAAAACACAGTACAAGTGAGAAAGCTCGACTATCACAGGCATATAATTTGAGATGTCCACGTCTCACCTTATCCAACTTGATAGTCTTTAAGCTGCTTTCACTCATTCTTGGATTAATCTGGCTGTCTAGTTATATATAGCTATGCATGTGTTAGCTCAAGGAATTGTAAGAGGAGATGGCATTAGTTCTTGACATTGAAAAGATAATTTTGACTCTTGTGCTCATTTGGTGTATACTGATATGCTTTGAAGCAACTGGCATCCATGCTCAGCCTGGATATCCTCCTAAAGAGGAAAGTAAGAGTGTTTTTTCTTCATGTTTTGTATTCATTTTTTGCCTTCAAGCTTGAAAGTGTTTTGTTTGAAAGTCTTAAGTACATAGCCTCTCAATACATCCCCACTTCACTCAAATCAAGATAGTTTGGTTGATTGTTTAATATCCTTGGTGAAGTTCAAGCTAACTCCTGAAAATCAGCAACTTGTGCAAGCATGGAACTTTCCTAGTTCTTGTTTAGAATGATTGATTCTTGTAATTTAAGGTTTCGGAAGAAGGATTTGGTTGGAAGTGTTGGCTCAAGGCCTTTACTTCCGTCGAAATTCTTTATGTGCAAGCCTTATTGCGATGCAGTGCTTATATGTTCTCCATGTACACTTTTGGAAGGGTCATCCCTTTGCTTGTATATCTATATCTTTTGTTTAATGGAATTACTTTACTTTCCAAAAAAAAAAAGATGATGTAAAACGAGCCATTGAAACCTTTTTTCTCTGTTTGTTTCTTGGTGGCAATTGGGGGCATTCCCATTGCCTATTGGCTTCTGAGACTTAATTGGTCACATGCATAAGTTGTCCTAGGGGCTTTGCTCTTTCTGCTAGGACAGATTGCCTAATTACTAAGCTTTAATATGGCTGTTATTAGAAATCCAGAAACAACCTTAGGCACTCCAAAGAGGTAAGAATTTACAGTATCTTGGGAAAACGAAACAGAGTGCCAATAAAATTGGCCAAGTTTTCCCTTTTCCTGAGTTAAGTGTACCAACCATAAAATTGCATGGATATTATTGTGAAGTTATTGCAATGAAATCTTCCGGAAGTTGGATGAAAATTATATGCCTTAGAGTTTTATTGGTCTTCTTGTCTTGGTCAAATTTTTGGCAATTGAATTCCTCTCTCTCTCTCTCTCTCTCTCTCTCTCTCTCTCTCTCTCTCTCTCTCTCTCTCACACATGTAGTGAAGAAATCTGGATAAATAAATATAGAACTTTTCTAAGGATTGTTTAATATGAGCTCTATTTAAGGTTCAACTTGTAGGGATATTCTGTTGAAGTTTTGAATAAGAACTCCTAAATGCCTGATCTTATTTCTAAGTATTGCACATTTAACAACAAATTCCTCAAATCTCAAAGATTGCCCTTATTCTGATTTTCAGCATGTCTATCCATATGTACATAAATGCGTACTTGTTGAACTTTATCCAACTAATCAATGAGTTTGATCTGTGCAGTTAATGCTCTTCGTGATATAGCTAAAGAGTTGCGTAAAACAGATTGGAATTTTACTCATAATCCATGTGATAATAGCACGTACTGGGTAACACCAAAAAGGAGTGAAATGCCACTCTACAACAATACTGTCTACTGCAATTGCAATTACAATGGTGGTGAATGTCATGTCACTGATATGTATGCTCCTTTTACACTATAAAAATTCCTCTGTTCTTCTTGGTTAGGGGTTATGAACTTAATGATGATGTTGGACAACATCCTTTTTTTTTTTTTTCTAAATGATATTGAGATTGTGCTACCTAATTTTGAAGGCATAATATGATGAGTAAATCAATGTTCTGTCCGTGATCTTTTTCTTTTTATTTGTTTTAGAAGACAATATTACAATAAACATGGAAAAAGCCTGATTTCATGCTTTATGTGAAAACCTCAAGGTTTTATTTCTTAGTTACATGCCTGTGGATGTCCACTGATCGTATATGATGGATTGTGCATACTACGGCAAATGGCACAAGAATCTAGCGCCAATCCAATATTACTTCTAGTCGTGGACCTCGTGGTGCTAATTTCACAATGACTATTGTTGCAACAATCACAGAACAGCTAAAGGGAATGTGGTTTCACCTCTGTAGTTTGGCTATGTGACGGCTTCTGGAAAATCATATAGAACAAACTATCAATGAGAAAAAACTATACTGGTTATGTGCTTAAAATCTTTTCAGTGTGTATCTCGATTAAAGATTATTAGCCTTTAATTCAAACTTGATAATTCTTTGCACGCAGACTGTCCCAAGCTATTTTATAAGATGCACTAGTACTATCTCATCTGACACAAAGAAAGTCCTTGACGTGTATCACCAAGCCAAGTTAGAACAAGAAATTTAGATGAGGGTCTAAATAACTGAGTAAAAATTTCTTTAATACCTTTTCTTTTCCTCAGTAACATTGCCAACCATGCATACCAACCCAAATTATTTTTGGTATGTGAATTATATACTGCTACGTTCAAGCTGGGAGAGGGCTTCCACCCTTTCTATGCATGTTGTATTCTTTCCATGGTTGGCATGGAGACATTCTGCTCTATTTGGGTGGTCCAATGTCCCATGGAGTTGGTATCATCTGGTTCTTTTTGTAGCATTTCGAAGTAGAATCTGTCTTCTTGAGTAAACCACAAGGAAATATGATAACTAACTTAACAATGATATCAAGTATTGTTTTTTTTTTCTTTTGTGATTTGAAGGAATCTTAAAAACTGAATGCATTTTGAAACCATATGATGAAGTTTTGACATCATTTAAGGTGGTGCTGGTCCAAAAACATATTCAAATTCAAGTGGAAGAAAAAGTTCACAATCTTTTAAAGTCGTGACTTGTATATGACGAAGGATCAAATTTCGTTTCGGTGTTTAGTTTAGGTTAGCTCAGAAACAGAAACTTTCCAGAATAAAGTTTCAGAATTTTGATGCCAAAATAGTGGCCAAAACATCCCAAAATTTCGGCCAAAACACCCCGAAACGTGGGAACTACGATTTTTCATCACTGGTTCGTTTCGGTTTCCATTGAAATGGAAATGATTTGGGTGTTTGGGTGGAAACAACACAAAATTTCAATCCTGGCATATGACCAGGCTTTTCTTTTGGAGCCATATATATACACACGCACACACGCACATAAATTTGTAATGACAATTGAGGAGTTTGGTCTATTGGGACCTTTGGATACATAAAATGTTGCTCTTGTTTTTTCTCCAGGCTCTGTGACTAGAACTTACCCAAGGTTTCACTTTAATTTGTTTATTGCTCTGTCTTGTTAACATTTGGAAAAACTCAATTTTCATATTGACTGAATTTTGCATGGAGCACCTTCCGCAATAACTAATTTTTTTTTGATTCATAAGCAACATTGAAATTTAAGGACCCCTGTTGTTATGCAAACCAGAATTCTTAAAGGGCAGGATCTTGCTGGTGTTCTACCACCATCCTTGGTGAAGCTACCCTACCTCAGGAACATGTATGAGAAGCCTCCAAACTTGTGCATGTTTTCATACATGTTAATCAGTTTTTATGTCTCTGTTCAAATGATAATATTATCTACTGTCTACAGTGATCTCTTTCGCAACTACCTATCCGGTACAATACACCCTGAATGGGCATCTACCAAGTTGGAATATTTGTAAGCTATTTCTGCACTTCATGGTAAAGATTATCCAAATCATGCTACAGGGTCCATTTTGTAGAATTAACGAAATGAGGATTCCATAGGTCTGTAGGGGGAAATCGCTTGTCAGGACCAATCCCAAAGTACTTGGGAAATATAACCACTCTGATATATATGTATGCTCTCTCTCTCTCTCTCTCAAACACCCCTCCACGCCCACGAACACCCACTCTTGAAAGAAATGAATCACTTGATGGTATATAGGTTTTACTTTTATTAAAATTTTGAAATAAAATGAATTTCAGGAGCCTAGAGAGCAACATGTTCAATGGAACTGTTCCAGCTGAGCTTGGGAAACTGTTCAACTTAGTGAACCTGTCAGGCTTTCTCATTTTTAAATTTTAGCACCAATTCTTGCTTTTAGTTGTTTCAATTATCCATAAAAACATTGCATATGCTGGTTTAATACCTTATTTTTCCTTCTTGGTTTGTCTATCATTCTCAATGCCAACAATCTCACAGGAGAGTTGCCAATGAAGGTCTTTAACCTGACAAATTTGACAGAACTGTGAGTATATTGGGGATATTTTCTCTAGAATTTAAATGTGATTTTTTTTGTTATTATTAATTTAGGAATTTGTCGTTGTTGTGGGCTTCTTCAGTAGATTAAGCAGCAACAACTTCACTGGAAAATTACCTAGTTTTCAGAATTTGAAACAACTTCAAAAGCTGTAAGTCAAAACATTCATTAATAAATTAAAATAAGGATAAAATCCATTGGCAATCCTTGAAGTATGCACTCTGTCCCTCATCTTCTAATTGTGTTGCTTGGTTTCAATTTATATTTAAATGGTCCAAGAGCTAATTTCCGTCTAAATAATTAATGGATAAGGCTTTTGTGTCTTCGATAATGACTGTCATGGGTCCACTTCCATTTTGATTATTGGGGCGGAAGTTAGCAATTGAACAATTCATAAACAAACTAGAGACCTTAAGGGCCACAATAACACAAACATAAGTCGAGGGACCACAATGAGATTGAGGGCATACTTCAGTTACCATCCATATATTTTACCTGGAGACTTTTCTGATATAATGTTAATCTATTGATATCTGTTGTCAACAGAGAGATCCAAGCTAGTGGTTTTGAAGGGCCTATACCTTCTAGCCTTTTTGTCTTAAGTAATTTGACTGAACTGTAAGTTAAGCCATTTTTTTTCTTGCTTCTTGGGTTGCATTCCTTTCATACTGTCGAAATAAGGAAAAGTACTGGTAAATGAATATATTCTCAAGGGGATCGTTATGCAGGAGGATTAGCGACTTACATGGAGGGAGTTCAATATTTCCACTGCGAAGCAACATGACAGGGATGAAAAGATTGTAAGGCGTACTAATAATTTGCAAACAAATAAATCAGAATTTTTTTGAATTTGCATTTCCAGCAGTACTATTTGCATGGATTGGTGTATGTTCTAGGATGTTGAGGAGCTGTAACATAAGTGGAACAATTCCAAATTACATAGCACAAATGAAAGGATTGCAATATTTGTAAGTCTACCACTTCCATTTATTTCTTTGTGGGATATATAAACATGTGCATGTAGTATACTGTTTACTTAGACATTCTGTATAGCTATCATGTGTGGGGTCTTGATAGCAACTAGCCGAAGTATGTATAGCTTTGCCAAAGTTAAATGTCCTTGTTATTAGATTTTCTTCTTTGGAAGTGTCATATTTTCTACTTTCCTAATATGTTTTTTTTCCTATTATCAATATCAAACTAATATAAATAGGTGATAGGATGTACACATTCTACACACCAATCTCATTTCTCGATTTCATGCCCTTTTTCTTCCAAATTCGTTGTCTGCACAGTTGGAGGTAGGGCTTTTGTTAATCGACTGCGTTGAAGAAGATGACTGTCTTCTCAGTTCACAACATAACTCGGAAGATCTGGGTCAATTCTTGGGTTTATCAAAAGCCCAATCAAGCTCAGCCCACTTCACTTTTTTTAACTCAAGCCCAAGAGAAGCCGAACAGCTTTTTTAAGGGAAATTTGGAAGATGGTACACCTTTTAACAGTTATTAGGTTGGAAGTCCAAGCGGGAAAAGATTTTGGCTAAAAGTCCATTTGGAAATCAAATGTCTAATATACTCATAACAATAAAATAAATGCACTCATAAAACCTGTTATAAACCAAAATCACAAGCAAAATAATAGCGCAATGAAATAAAAAATATAGAACACATAGAATTTACGTGGTTCAGCTTAACAAACAAGCTTACGCCCGTGAACGCAATATAGCGGCAAGATTTCACTATTCAAAGGTTGGAAATTGCAAAATTTGCGAAACAAAGGCAAGATAACATCCACATGCTCTATTCCAATAACATAGAAATTATGGGAGAAACAAAATAGAGCAAAACCAAATTTTTTCTTATCGAAATTATCCTTGACATCGCCATTGGCAAGCTGTTTGGAGAGGACATAAATTCACCTTCATCTAGACAAACAAAATTCCCTTAAAATACTTGGAGCAATCAAAGTCCAATAATGACAAAAAAATTGCTCCTAATTCCATTAGAATATTGATTCCCAAGTTGACACCAAAAAGTGACATCTTGCATAAGAATTGTTTCCAAAACAAACTTCTCCAAACAATTCCTTTTGAGCAATGGACTGCCCACCGAAATTCTCCAAATAAGAAATCAAAATTAGACTTGAAATACAAGTCATTATCAACAAATCTCCACCTTGACTTGTATTCTATCAAGCCATACAACCAAAGTGAACTTGACCGCTGCTTTCGCTAAATACCAGAGTACTACTCAAGCAGTGCAAACGCCAAGCAATGCTTAAACTTGAGCATTGGTACCGGCTTAGTAAACATATCTGCTGGATTCTTTACTGTAGCAACCTTTTTCACTGTGACAATTCCTTGAGACAATCTCATGAAGGAAGTGATATCTAACATCAATGTGTTTGGTCCTTTCATGATATATTTGATTTTTAATCAAATGTATTGCACTTTGACTAGCATAAAACACAGTAATCACCTCATCTTCCAAGCCTAAATCACATACCAAACCTGTTAACCAAATTGCTTCTTTAACTGTCTTTGATAATGTCATGTATTCTGCCTCTGTGGTAGACAAAGTAACTATAGATTGTAGGATCGCCCTCTAACTTACAGTGTACCCAAATAGAATAAAAATATAACCGGTCAAATATATCCTCTTATCTAGATCACCTGCATAATCAAACTAAACATAACCAACTACTGTAGAATTAATGTCATATCTTCTACCAAATACTAAGCCAACATCTATAGTGCTTCTCAAATAACGAGCTATCTATTTTATAGCTTGCCAATGAACCTTTCTAGGATTAGCCATGTAACGGCTAACCACACTAATTGCCAGTGAAATATCTGGACGAGTGCAAACTATAGTATACATGATGCTCCCAACTGCACTAGAATAAAGAACCTGAGACTTAAACTGCTCCTCATTTTCACTCTGTGGTGATAAAGCTATTGAAATCTTAAAGCGAGCAACAAGTGGAGTACTTGTAGGCTTCAAATTCTACATGTCAAACCGCTCAATAACTTTTTCAATATATTTTTTTTTGAAATAAATACAACATACTTGTTTTCCTATCCTTGTGAATCTCCATACCCAAAATTTTCTTTATAGGACCCAAATTTTTCACCTCAAATTCTGAACTTAATTGTTTCTTCAACCTGTCAATCTTTAACATGTTCTTAGTAGCAATAAAAATGTCATCCACATAAAGTAATAAATATATAAAAGAACTATATGACAATTGCTTGTGATATACATAACAATCATAATTACTCCTAGAGTAATCATAATTTATCATAAAGGTGTCAAAACGTTTATATCACCGTCTTGGAGGCTGTTTCAAACCTTATAATGATTTCTTCAATAAGCAAACATGATCTTCTTTACCTTGAATAATAAATCCCTTTGGTTGACACATGTAGATAGTGTCCTAAAGTTCACCATGTAGAAAAGCTGTCTTTAAATCAAGTTGCCCAAGCTCTAGATTGAGTGAAGCAACCATGGCAAGCAATACACGAATTAAGCTATGTTTCACAACTAGTGAGAAAACTTCATTGAAGTCCACACCCTTTGTCTGATTGTAGCCCTTTGCAAATAACCGTACCTTGTAGTTTAACCCTTGGAATTCCTTTCTTTTTCTTGAAGACCCATTTACAACCGACAACCTTCATGCCCCTAGGCAACTTAATGAATTCTCAAGTCTGGTTCCTATGAAGAGATTCAATTTTTTTAGTCATAGCAACGGCCCAATGTGCAGACTCACTACATGTGATAGCTTCTGCATATGTGGAAGGCTCTTGAACACCAAACTCCTTTGCTATAGTTAATACATAAGCCACCAAGTCTACATACCTATATTTCTGAGGGGGTCTAATTTGCCTCCTCTCCCAACATGTTGCAATTTTATACTTCTCCTCCTTCTGTGGATCGTCACCTGAACTTGAACAAGACAAATTTGAAATAGATTGAATTGGGATACTTTTTGTGAAGCTTCCACTTATAACTCCACCTCCTTGCTATAACCCTGTTCTTTACCTCCTTTCTCGGATAGAACATGGAAGATTCATCAACATCCCTGTTTACTATAAAGTTTGATGATTTAGGATCACAACATCACAATCTATATCCTTTCACACCATTAGGATAACTAATAAATACGCACTTTTTAGCCCTAGGGTCAAGCTTACCATCATTCACATTACAGTAAGCAGTATAACCAAATATTTTTAGATTAGAATAATCAACAGGAGTACCAGACCATACCTCATGTGGAGTCTTTAATTCAATAGCAGTGGATGAAGAACGATTGACCAAATAGTAAGTAGGGCTAACTGCCTCAGCCCAAAAATCCTTAAATAACCCTACATTAGAGAGCATACAATGTGCTCTCTCCAAAATAGTTATGTTCATCCTCTCTGCAACCCAATTTTGTTGTGGAGTAGACCGGACAGTATGATGTCTGACAATATTTTCATCTATGCAGAACTCATTAAATTCACCTCTACAAAATTTTAAACCATTATATGTTCTGAGACACTTGACTTTCTTGCCTGTCTGTTTCTCAATCAAACTTTTTTATTGTTTGAAAGTCCAAAAGACATCACTCGTGCGTTTCAGAAAATACACCCAAACCTTCCTTGAATAATCATCAATAAAGGTCAAAAGGTATCGAGCGTCACCCTTAGATAGAACCTGAGAAGGGCCCCAAGATCTGAATGAATATAATCAATTATACCTTTAGTCATGTTAATAGCTATACTGAACTTGACCATACGCTGTTTTTCAAGACACAATGCTCATAGAAACCAAATTTTGTTTGCCAAGCAAACCCTATTTACACAAGACTTCTATGCCCCTCTCGCTCATATGAACCAAACGCATATGCATAACTGGTTAGTATCTGAATCTAAAATTTTTGAAGATGACACACCTATTAAAGTATTTATATTATAGATAGTTAAGGTATTTTATATTATTTTGTTGCCCTAATATATATAGGCCTACATTGTGTATTCTAGGTTAACGTTGTATTACTGATTGTATTAGTTTAAATAATATTCTTTACTTCTTTCTCCCTTTCTTTTCTTGCCTTTGGTCAATGTTAACATGGTATCAAAGCATTGTTTGATCCTAGCATACTTAACAAAACAAATTGAAGAACACAATAGAAAAAATTCTTCCGGCAAAAAACGGAGGGCTGACGTCATCAAATTAGGGCTGACGTCATTATTGATGTCATCAGTTTGGAGTTGAGGAGAGCACTACATACTCGATTCTTCATGGGCTTTCCAATGGTATGTTTCTTTTTTGATTTTGAGGCCATCGAATAGGGTTTTCTAATTTTTGAATATTTTTCAAAAATTTCGGTTCTATTTTTCAATTTGTGATTTGGGGTTGTTTTTCTTAAATTTTTTTGTTTCCAATAGAGTCTAAAGGGTGCGATTAAGAGTGTAGGTTGGCTGGTTGTGTGATTTGAAGGTATTTGGTTGGATTTTGGTTGTATCTTGGCTACTTGGGACTGTTGGCCTACTGTTCACAGTAAGAACAATAGCTGAAGTCTTTGTTTTGGGCTTGTATATCTGTGTCTTGGCCCATGTTTTTGGCTTCGCTGGTTGGTTTCTATTCTTTGGAGTCTTCTCTTAGCTTCGCAGGTTGGCTTCACATGTGATACAATTTGCTACGTAGGTTGTACAACTTGCTTTCTTATTTGGTTGTCGGACTTTCTCGTTTCTGGCTTGGTTTGGGTATTATTTTATTGCGAGCATTGACTCTTTGTTTAACATTATGTCAATTGTCTAGTGGAAATTTTGATTCTCTTCTAGGTATTAGTGTAAGATTAAATGGTGTAAATTATTCTTATTGGACTTATGTTATGAAAAACTTTTTGTTGGGTAAGTAGATGTGGCGTTATGTTAGTGGTGATGTGCAAGCTCCAATAGATCCGAAAGTATAGAAATATGCTGACTT